ATCGCTTTCTAGGTCACAACTCAAAAGCAGGAAGGTTGGAAGGAGGTTTTGGGGAGGGGGGTTGCTGGGCTGCGTGGGGTCTCTGTTCTATGCGCTTCAGCAAGGGTCGGGGGTCTGCATTCGGAAGGGGAAAGGTGACCTGCACTCCCTTAAAGCAAGCTGGGGCTGGGGGGGCGGGGGGAAGCCCAGGAAAGGATGCTCGATTTGAGCAGGTGGGAAGGGACCCTTGGATTTTTATTTTTTTTAATTTGATTTATATGCCGCCCTTCTCCGGAGACTCAGGGCGGCTTACAATGTGTTAAGCAATAGCCTTCATCCTTTTGTATATTTATACGAAGTCAGCTTATTGCCCCCACAACTGGGTCCTCAATTTACCTACCTTAGGAAGGATGGAAGGCTGAGTCAACCTTGAGCCTGGCGAGATTCGAACCTGCAGTAACTGCAGGCAGCTGGTCTTAATAACAGGGTGCTTTAGACCAGTGTACTACCAAGGCTCTTTTTGCATGGGCCATGCACCGAAGTGAGATTCTCCCTTTCGGATCACTTGTTAACGAATTAAGATTTATTTGCATCCCGCCCTTTTATTATTTTTACGAATAACTCAAGGGGGCAAACATATCCGACACACTTTCCTCTTTTCATGCCGAAGGCAGGACTAGAACTCATGGTCTCCTGGTGATTGGGCCAAAGTCACACAGCTTGCTTTTGTGCCTACGACGGGACTAGAACTCACTGTTTCCTGGTGATTAGCCCAAAGTCACACAGTCAGCTTTCTTACCTAAGGCTGAACTAGAACTCACCATCTCCTGGGGATTGACACAAAGTCATCCAGGCAGCTTTCATGGCTAAGGTGGGACTAGAACTCCCCATCTCCTGATGACTGACCTAAAGTCACCCAGCTGGTGTTCATGGCTAAGGTGGGACTAGAACTCACCATCACCTGGTGACTGGCCCAAAGTCACCCAGCTGGCTTTCATGGCTAAAGTGGGACTAGAACTCTCTGTCTCCCGATGATTGGCCCAAAGTCACCCAGCTAGCTTCCATGCCTAAGGCGCGACTAGAACTCTCTGTCTCTTGGTGACTTGGCCCAAAATCACCCGGCCAGCTTTTGTGCGTTTGGCAGTACTAGGACTCACAATCTCCTGCTTTAACCGCTAAACCAAACTTCTACCTTCCTTCTAAGAGCTCAGGGGATCTTATCTGAAGGGTCTCCAGATTATCTCCACAACATCATCCCTACAAATGAGTTGGGTTGAGGAAACTCCAAATCACTTCATCCCTTTCCATGCTTTCCATCCCTTTCCATTCCACGTTGTCCAATCTCTTCTTAAAAACTTCCAGTGTTGGACAGTGGTGGGATTCAAGTAATTTAACAACCGGTTCTCTGCCCTAATGATTTCTTCCAACAACCAGTTTGCCAAACTGCTCAGAAAGTTAACAACCGGTTCTCCCGAAGTGCTGCAAACTGGTTGAATCCCACCACTGGCGTTGGAGCATTCACAACTTCTGAAGGCAAGGAGTTCCACTGGTTAATTGTTCTCACAGTCAGGAAATTTCTCCTTAGTTCTAGGTTGCTTCTCTCCTCAATTAGTTTCCACCCATTGCTTCTTGTCCTGCCTTCAGATGTTTTGGAGAATAGCTAATTTTACTTTGCTATGTCCACAATGTGGAAATTTCTATTTTAAACCGGGATGAGAATTTCTCAAGTTTGGAGACTGAAGTTTCCTCTAAAGCAGGAATCTCCAAACTTGGTAACTTTTAAAGCCTTGTGGATTTTTCAACTCTCAGAATTTCCCAGCCAGCATGTTTTAAGAGCTGCGGACTTCAACTCCCAGAATCCCTCACGCTGGCTGGGGAATTCTGGGAGTTGGAAGCCCCACCCATCTTAAAAAGTTGCCAAGTTCCATTTGTAGATTTCCAAATAAGTGGCGGGGTTTTGAAATGCCTTTTCCTTATTTATTTATTAATCGTATTTATATGGCTGCCCCCTCTGGGCAACGCACAACAATAAACAAACACTTGCAAGTCTTCAAAAGCGTCAGAACAGCTGCACACGTCTGTGTCGTCTTGAAGTAACAGTAATGGTGTGGGAAGGGACCTTGGAGGTCATCTAGTCTACTCCTGCTCATGCAGGAGACCTATCCATAACATAACATTAACATTAACATAACGTAACATTTTTAAAAAACATTTTTAACTGGTTTGTCATTTTAAATTGGGGCCAAATTAATATATATCCTTTTAATTGTTTTTAATGTTTGTATTGTATGTTTTTAGCTGGCTGTACACCGCCCTGAGTCCCTCGGGAGAAGGTGCGGTATATAAATTCGAAATAAAAATAAAATAAATAAAATACGAGGGATTCGAACCGCCAACCTTTCTGATCGGCAAGCTCAGCGTCTTAGCCACTGAGCCACTTAGGGAGCCGTCTTCTTTTACAGTTTTTTTTTTTTTTGAAGGCCTGCTGGATCTTTTTTTTAAAGATTTCTCGCTCGGTCACCTAGAAAAGCTAAGTGATTTTCCCCGTCTCTGGATTTGCATCTCGAGCCGCCGGTTTCAAATGAGAGCAAAAACACTCCACGGATTGCAGCTGTTAACTACACAATCTGACATCACCTTGCAAAGGGCCCCAGCTAGGCTGCAGCCGGTGCCAACCTGGCATACCGCACCCGTCGTATCTTGCTCCATCAGCCTAGAAGCGGCGCAGCGTGTTAAATTAAAACCCTGCCTCTCTCTGCCAGAGCCATCCCGGCTTGCTCTCTGGCGATGGGTCTTGCCAAGCTCTTCCCCTGCCATCAGCTGCTGGGCGAACAGAGGGGGCTGGTCTGTCAAAATGTGGAGCGGAGTTAATTATCTGCATTCAAAAATTGGCCCTAGGCGGCTTCTGGAACCAACTCCCTGCCGGGTAGCGCCGAAATCCAAGGAAGGGGATTGAGGGGGTTGTTGAGGCCGTTCGATGGATGGAAACCAGTGGTGAAATCCAAATTTGTTTACTACCGGTTCTGTGGGCGTGGCTTGGTGGGCGTGGCAGGGGAAGGATACTGCAAAATCCCCATTCCCACCCCACTCCAGGGGAAGGATCAGGGGTGAAATCCAGCAGGTTCTGACAGGTTCTGGAGAACCGGTAGCGGAAATTTTGAGCGGTTCAGAGAACCGGTAGCGGAAATTTTGAGTAGTTCGGAGAACCGGCAAATACCACGTCTGGCTGGCCCCAGAGTGGGGTGGGAATGGAGATTTTGCAATATCCTTCCGCTAAGAGCGGGGAGGGAATGGGGATTTTACAGTATCCTTCCCCCAGGAGTGGGGAGGGAATGGGGATTTTACAGTATCCTTCCCCAGGAGTGAGGTGGGAATGGAGATTTTGCAGTATCCTTCCCCTGCCACGCCAACAGAACTGGTAGTAAACAAATTTGGATTTCACCACTGGGAAGGATACTGCAAAATCTTCATTCCCACCCCACTCCAGGGGAAGGATACTGCAAAATCCCCATTCCCACCCTACTCTGCGGCCAGCCAGAGGTGGTATTTGCTTGTTCTCCGAACTACTCAAAATTTCCGCTACCAGTTCTCCGGAACCTGTCAGAACCTGCTGGATTTCACCCCTGATGGAAACTAATCAAGGAGGGGAACCAACCTAGAACTAAGGAGAAACGTTATCGACGGTGAAAACCACGGATCGGTGGAACGGTGCACTCTTGAGTTTGGTGGTTTTCTTGCCTCCAGAAGTTGTGGATGCTCCATCGCTGGAGGTTTTGTAAGAAGAGATGGGACGGCCATTTTGTCTGGAATGGCATAGGACCGCGATGGCGAAGCTATGGCACGCGTGCCAGAGGTGGCAAGAAGCGCCCTCTCTGTGGGCACGCGAGCCGTCGCCCCAGTTCAGCTCCGCTGCGCATACGCGCGTGCCTCCTGCTGGCCAACTGGTCTTTGGGACTCTGCCGTGCATTTGGTGGGTGGGGGGGCTCGGGGGGGGGGAGGTGCCAGGCACGCGCACGCATACATGGCAGAGCGCATGTGCATTTTGGGGGTTCGTGCACGCGTATTCGGGCACTCGGTCCGGAAAAGGTTAGCCATCACTGGTATAGGATCTCCTCTAAGGTCCTTATTCTATGTTTTATGTTCTAACGTCCAAGCTTTGCAAGATCCTCAATTGCTTAGGGCTCTCGGTCTTCCTTTGAGTTGTGTTTGGGCTCAATGATACTATCGGATCTCCTGCTTGAGCAGTATAGCGGTCCCCAACTTTTACGGCTTGGCGGCCCAGTGGGGGAGGCGGGGAGAGGGGAACCAGCCCGCCGCTTATGCAAGTTGAGTTGTGCGCCTGGGCCCACCGCTCTGTTCAAAACAGCGCCCGGTTCAAAACAGACCATGGCTCGAGAGTGGGATGTGGCCCTGAAATTGGGGACCCCTGAGCTAAGAAGACTTCCAAGGTCCCCTCCACCTCTGGTATTCTGTTATTCTGCCACAACCTCCACTCAATGTAATCTCTTTTCTCTTCCCCTCCTCTTCTCTCTTTTCTTCTCTCCTTCTCTTCTCTTCTCTTCTCTCCTTTTCTTCTCTTCCCTTCCCTTCTTCTCTTTTCTTCCCTTCCTTTCCCCTCTTCTTCTCTTCTCCTTCTCTTCTCTCTTCTCTTCCCTTCCCCTCCTCCTCTCCTCTTTTCTTCCCTTCCCCTCTTCTTCTCTTTTCCCTCTTCTTTCTTCTTCCTCTTCTCTTCCCCTTCCCTTCTCTCTTCTCTTCCCCTCTTCTTTCTTCCCTTTCCCTCTTCTCTTCTCTTCCCCTCCTCTTCTCTCTTCTCTTCCCCTCCTCCTCTTCCCTTCTCTCTTCTCTTTTCTTCCCTTCCCCTCCTCTTCTCTTCTCTTCCTCTCCCCTCTTCTCTCCTCTTCTCTTCCCTTCCCCTCCTCTTCTCTCTTCTCTTCCCCTTTCTCTCTTCTTCTCTTCTTCTCTTCTCTTCCCTTCTCTTCCTCTTCTCTCTTCTCTCTCTTTCTCTCTTTTTTAAAACTCAGGCTGAAGGAAGATCTGGGCACTTGGGAGTGGTCCCATTCCGGTCGATTGCAGGCCTTCGAAGAGCCACCGAGGCGAATGTTAAGCAGCCGAGAAATCGGGAAGAAGGCGCATGGAAAGCGACGCCGGGGAGAGTGTCCCAGTGGCCAAGCCAGATCCGTGTGTGTGTGTGAGTGAGCACGCTTTTGTACAGAAGACGACGGAGACGGAGAAGACGGAGAAGGCGACCGAGGCAGAAGGCCACTCCACAACCACCATTGCGCACGCGTGTGCGTGGTGTGCTTGTATCTTGTGTACAGCGGAAGCCCAAGTGGCACGGGAGTCGCTGGGTTTGGGGGTGGGGGATGGGGGAGCCATTCCTTGCAGTAGCTTCAGCTGCACGGCGGGGTTTGCCCACCTCGGTCATCGAGTGGGGATCCTCCTGGGATTGGTCTCCATGGGAGCCACTCAACCCCTTCCTGCCTGGCACCTGCCAATCACGGGGTCAGGGTTTTCGCAGCCTTGCAGAGAGGCAGCCTAGGGGCGGGGGGTGTATTATATCTCTCTCTACATAGGGGTGGGGTGGGGTGTATATGTATATAGGTCTCTCTCTTGTCCGAAGGGCCAAATCCGGACCCTTGCGATCTCTTTCGCTATTTTGATTCGGAGAGCTGAGCAGGGCTGTCTCCGTGGTGCTATTCTGGCTCTTTGAAACCAAACCAAACCAGGTTTTCTACATTGTCCTAACCACCTTCTTAGCATCTTAGCTACTGAAGGGGGTGGGTGGGCACGTAGGGAGGGGGTTTTCTCTGGGCAGTTCAGTCCTGCCTGCCTAGGAGATGTCGCCTTTGCACAAACGCAGGCATTGGACGAGGCCGCGAAGACCTTAATCTCCCAATAAGAGGTAGTGCTCGACTTACAACCAGTGGCTTCGTGACAATAGTGGTTTATGACCGGTTTTCCACACTTTAGGACCGTTCCAGCATTCCCAAGTTGGGCACTTGGCAACTGGCATTATTTATTATTTTTATTTTATTTTATTAAATTTCTATACCGCCCTTCTCCCGAAGGACTCAGGGTGGTGAATAGCCAAAAGATAAAACACAGAGATACAAAATTTAAAACAGATTAAAACAGATTAAACAATTTGGCTAAATTTTAAAAATATCCCATAATTAAACAAATTAAAATTAGTGTTTAAAATTTAAATTTTAAAATTTTAAAAGGGAGAAGATTTAGGCCAGGCTAGCTTGATGAAATGTACTTAGGACGGTTGCACTTGTCCGAGGGGTGGTGTGATCACCATTTGTAAACCTTCCAAGAAGCAAATTCGGGGGAGGGAAGACGGATTCATTTAACGACCACATGATTCACTTAACAACTGCATCGATTTGCTTAATAATTGAGGCCACAGGAAGGCCGGCAAAGCTCACCTAACAACCGCCTTGCTTAGCGACGGGAAAATTTGGGCTCAGGTTGTGGCCGTAAGCCGAGGACTAGCTGTAACAGGTGGTCCTTTGACTTGCAGCAGTTCACTTAGTGACCGTTCAAAGTTACAACGGTGTGGGGGAAAAAGTGGGTTGTGACCGTTTTCACACTTACGACCGTTGCAGCAGCCATGGTCAAGTGATCCAAATTCAGCCACTTTGGCAACTGCTTCCTATTTTATGACAGGGATCGCGCCTTCCGACGTGCAAAGTCAACGGGGGAAGCCAGATTCGCTTCCGAACCGTGTGACCCATTTAACAAAGGCAGCAATTCGCTTTAACAAAAGTGGCAAGAAAAAGTTGTAAAACGGGGCAAAACTCACAAAGTCCTCCGACATAAATTCTGGGCTCAATTGTGGTTGTAAGTCGAGTACCTTACCTGCCTTCAAAATCAGACCAGAATAGGTTTTAGCACTAAAAAAATAAAATAAAACAATATTAGTGCTCTAAAGGGCTTCCTATTCAAACTTGACTGTAGATGAACAGGGAGACCGAGCCAATAATGTTGATTTCTAGAAAACCTGGGCTATCCAGATAGAAATTGGCTACCAAGAATAATATAACATGCTGGTCTTCAATTGTGCCTCCCTCTCCCTGTTTTGCTTGGATTTTGCAACACTAGAGGAACAAATATTTGCTGATAATTGCAAAAACATCCTTTTCAGCTTCAAATCTGTAGATAGTCAAAGGGCGGGGTGGGGGTGGAGAGCTTTTCCTCCGTTTCGATGCATGGGGAAGATTACGCTGGAACTTGTAACTGTAGACATAACGGTGTCCTTTCTTTCACGTTCCATTAACGCAAAGCTGAAAAGGGGAACCCCCCTTAAGGGGTTGAATGTACCTCTGCCTCGGCCCCCATTGCTGTGTGAGTTGGATCCTCATTCGTGATGAACAGAACTCTTTTTTAGCATGCGAAGAACGCCTAGAGATCATGTAGTCCACCCCCCCTACCCTTCTTCAAATGAGACCTACAGTGCAAAATACAACTCCAGTTTCACCAATAAATTTCGGTCAGCCTCAGCTGAAAGCCCTCCCCCTCACGATGAGAAAAATTGCTTTCTTCTATTTGAATTCCTGGCATGGGGAGGATTTTTCGTTCCCTCGTGCTGAGTCAAAATCCACTTCCTTGCAACGCTTCCATCCTTAAACCCAATCTTATATTACAGATTCATTTGTCTCAAGCCTCTGCATCAGTTAAGGAGGCTGGCGACGCTTAAAATCCGAAGGTTTTTTTTTTTTTAGTTTTAACAAAAGAGAAAAGAAGGGCGGGGGGAATCTATTATTGCATTGAATGTACCTAAGAAACCTTCTGCAGCAGATGGGACTCCTAAGATAGCTTCTAAAATCCACCTTAACTCTGAGGAACATTCCCCCAGGGTGCTACAGCCCTACATTTTAAAGATCTCTTCTCTAAAAAAAAAAAAAAAAAAAAAGATCCAGAAATCAGGAGGTGTTCCTTTTTTTACTCACACAGTAAAAACATCCCTTCGATGATTCCAAAGAGTACAGAATTGCAAAACTCTTAAATACGAAAACCAAATGCATGGAAACGCCCATCCGAAATTAATTTATCTGGAAACATCATCCATACCTTGCAATGTATAACACTGACAGAATTGGAAGGGGTCTTGGAGGTCATTTAGTCCAACCCTCTGCTCACTCAAGAAATCTGTATTACGGATTCGAACTGCCGACTTTTCTGATCGACAAGCAAAGCGTCTTAGCCACTGAGCCACCTAGCCAGGCAGTCCTTCCATCCCCTAACTAAGAGCCAGTTAACCAGCTTAGATAGGCGCACAATTTGTCTGGCAATTCTAACTCGGCCTTCCGTGTTCGTTCATTCGATTTGTTTGAACTTCATCAAACTAAATTTATAGCACGGGCAACGCCCTCACCTGTTTGACTCTCTGACCCCCACCTGGGCTTCCTCAAATCCTCTCTTCCCTTTTTGGAATCTCTGATTAAAAACCCTCCAACCGGCCTCTGACCGGTTTTACGGGACAGGTTTTGGTGGGTGGAGCAGAAGACAAGTTTTGAGAAAATGCTTGAGGTTCTAAAATCCCATTTCCACCATAGATAAATTGGTTTCACCAGGTAATCGAGAGGTGTGTTTCTACCAGGCTATTTCATTAACGTGGGGTCGTTGGTGCCCTCTGAGCTTGGTTGGGGTTTTTTTGCAGACGTTTCATTACCCAAGTAGATAACATCATCAGTACAAGTAGGGAGTAGGGTTTGCTTTCATTTGTATCTACCAGTGAATAGATAAACTTTTATCTATATATATAAGTTTATCTACTCACCAGTAGATAAAAATGAAAGCAAACCCTACTCCCTACTTGTTTTGGTGTATTCGGGTCTTTTCCCGTGTAAGATTGAGAGTATCTTGGCGATGTTTCGACCAGGTCCCACTCGTCAACTTCAGGCTAGTGTCTTCGGCTTCGTGCTTTCAGCTTTCCTCGCACAAGCACGAAGCCGAAGACACCAGCCTGAAGATGAACAGTGAGACCTCGTCGAAACGTCGCCAAAATACTCTCAATCTTACACGGGAAAAGACCCGAATACACCAAAACCTGCAAACCTCTACCCGTGAAATTCTATGGAAACATATATATTTTCTTACTTTTTTGTAGGTTTTATGTGTTTTTCTTTTAGCCAGGTTTTTCCTACGTAACCAAGATTTTTCTACTGTAGAAAAATCTTGGTTACGTAGGAAAAACCTACGTAACCTGATATATATATATCAGGGTAGATTTGATTTAAATCGAGTTGATTTAAATCACAATTTAAATCATGATTTAAATCACTAGTAAAAAGGCTTGATTTAAATCATAATTTTGAAAGAGCAACTGTCATCTCTGCTACTCCTTTGACCCACGGTTGACTCACCGATAGTCCCAGTGTTGCAGAATATACAGCCTCCTGCTACAGAACTAAGCTGCATTTCATGCTGAATAAACTAAATTATTTATGTATCTTAAATAGAAAACTATCTTACGATAGATTTTTACGCCAAAAGTTTTTTATTAAAATAAATTCGATAAAAATAAAAAAAATCCGATTTAAATAAAAAAAAATCCGATTTAAGTAAAAAAAATCTGATTTTTTTTTATTTTTTTTAAAAAATCATTGATTTTTATCCACCCTGGATACATACATACACCCATACATACATACATATATATTCTTTTTGTGCCATATCTGTCATCGGACGTTGGCAATCCTATATAAACTCACTAATTTATCTACTCACCGGTAGATAAAAATGAAAACAAATTCTCTCTATATAATGATGTTACCTGGTTTGGGTAATGAAACGTCTTCAAGAAAACCACCAAGCTCAGAGAGTTTCAAAGACCGCATAGTCTGCCCTCCTCCTACTCTCCACAAACCCCACTTCCTTCTACCATTGATGATATTACCTAGTTGGGTAATAAAACATCTACAAGAAAACGACCAAGCTCAGAGAGCACCAAGGACCCCACAGCTCAACCCTGAGCTACAAATATTCTCTTCTATCGGTATTTCCTTAATGCGAAATAAGGTCATTCCACATTAATATTCATTCCAATTCTATTTTCAATGCCGTGACGTGAGGATGGCTTTCTCTCTAAGTTAAAAGTTAGCTGGAATACATGCCGAACAAGTGAGATCTAAATATGCAGGCAATTGGGAGTTAATTTTCGGCTGCAAGAAGCTATGGGTGAATTTTTTTCCAAAATTCCTTTAACCTAGAAATGGTTTCTACACTAGAGATAAGAAATGGCAGAATTGATAATGGCTACCAAAAAAAAAACAACAACACCCCAACCTGAGATTTAAAAAAGCAGCTGTAAGATCTTTCCAAGATGTGAAACACTAAACCAAGTTTAGAATCCCCTTCAAAACCTCATTGAGGTATATATTGCAGATGAGACGGATCCGGTTTTTTTGAAATTTCACCTGCGCTTCGAAAGGGCTCTTTCTCACCCTTTTGTAAAAGAAATTTCCTATGCTGGAGACTTTGTACATATTTATATTGACTTTATTAAAAAAAAAAAAAGGAATAAGAAGAAGTATTCCAGTTGTTGATCTTTGATTCTGTGTCATTCATTCTTCAGAATATTTAGTTTCTCGCATGGCAGCAGTGGCAAACAATGTTTTGTGTACAAAGATGGAATTTGTACAAGTGAAACCTTTGTGGTAGGGAATTGGAAGCCCTGTGCCTGTATTTCTATGAAATTAGAGGTCAGTCCATACTAAATTCATTCAGTAGTAAAGGTAAAGGTTCCCCTCACACATCTGTGCTAGTCGTTCCCGACTCTAGGGGGCGGTGCTCATCTCCGTTTCAAAGCCAAAGAGCCAGCGCTGTCTGAAGACGTCTCTGTGGTCATGTGGCTGGCATGACTCAACGCCAAAGGCGCACGGAACGCTGTTACCTTCCCACCAAAGGTTGTCCCTGTTTTTCTACTTGCATTTTTTACCTGCTTTCGAACTGCTAGGTTGGCAGAAGCTGGGACAAGTAACGGGAGCTCACCCCATTACGCGGCACTAGGGATTCGAACCGCTGAACTGCCGACCTTTCGATCGACAAGCTCAGCATCTTTAGCCACTGAGCCACCGCGTCCCTAAAAATTCATTCATTTACACACAGACTAAACCAGCTCTTGATATCAATCTTGGAAGCTAAACTGGGTGAATCATAACAACTTCGGTGGTCATTGTTATCAACCTCATCATCGTGGCAGCAGAAATACAACTAGCCCTCAACTTACAACCATTCATTTAGTGACCGTCTGAAGGTACAACAGCGCTGAAAAAATGGACTTGCGAGCGGTCTTCGCACTTACAACCGTTGCATTAATCCCCATAATCATGTGATGAACGGGGTGATAATCATGTCATTGATGAACTGGATAAGTCTAGTTTAATGAAAAGGACTAGGCGAAGGGGTGACATGATAGCAGGGGTGAAATCCAGCAGGTTCTGGAGAACCTGTAGCGGAAAATTTCAGTAGTTCGGAGAACCAGCAAATACCACCTCTGGCTGGCCCCAGAGTAGGGTGGGAATGGAGATTTTGCAATATCCTTCCCATGCCACACCCACCAAGCCACGCCCACCGAGCCATGCCCACAGAACCAGTAGTAAAAATATTTGGATCTCACCACTGCATGATAGCACTGTTCCAATATCCAATACACATCACAACTAGATGTTTCCATTGTATGCCAAACTAAAACCAGACAATTAGAGCAAAGCCCACTCCTTTCTAGCACTGATGATGTTACTTAGTTGGGTAATGTAACGTCTGCAGGAAAGCCACCAAACTCAGAGAGCTCCAAGGATCCCATAATCCTCTTTCTCCTCCACAAACCCCACTCCCTTCTAGCACTGATGATGTTACCAAGTTGGGTAATGCAACATCTGCAGGAAAACCACCAAACTCGAAGAGGGCACTAAGGACCTCACATAAAACCAGACAAATCTTGCCTTTGAGTTCAAACGTTTCATATTTTGGGACATCCTAGCATGTATGCAGCAAAACTAAAACTCTATATTTTGCAATTCTTTACATTAATCTTTTCCTCAGCTTTGGGGTTTTTTTTTTTTTGTTTGTTTGTTTTCAAAGTGGCATTAGAGTTTAGCTTTCTTGAAACCATCTGATACACAGGAAATTACAAATCCAGGAGACCACGTCCAACCACAAACCGTGCAAATTATTTCTTCTTCTTAGCTTTCTCCGAACTATGAATTGGGTCGTGCACAGTTGACTTGTTTTCAATACATCTGGGCAAATTAAGTTTTATTAGTCGTTCGATGCGAAAAGGCAGCGAAATAAATATTCCGCCCAACCTTTGAAAAACAAAATCCAGGGGAACCGGAGCAGATGCTGTATTCTCAGACTGCCACGTATGAACAAAGGGGATGACATCAATCCCTTATCAGGGGTGAAATGCTCCCGGTTCGGACCGGATCGCCCAATCCGGTAACGATGGCAGCGGGTGGTTCGGAGAACTGGTAGCAAAAATCTCTGCGCCCCCCCCCCCATGCCCAGCTGAGCCGCTTTATACTTAAAAGCATTCAAAGGCTGTTTTTTCTTAAAACTTTTAAAAGCAAAAAAAATGCTTTTAAAATTAAAAAAAAAACCTCTGATGATTGCGCGGCTCAGCTGGGATCATCAGAGGCTTTTAAAAGCATTTTTTCTACAACCTCTTCAGCTGAAAAAATGCTGTTAAAGTAAAAAAAAAAGCTTCTGATGATTGCGCGGCTCAGCTGGGATCATCAGAGGCTTTTAAAAGCATTTTTTCTACAACCTCTTCAGCTGAAAAAATGCTGTTAAAGTAAAAAAAAAAAAGCTCTGATGATTGCGCGGCTCAGCTGGGATCATCAGAGGCTTTTAAAAGCATTTTTTCTACAACCTCTTCAGCTGAAAAAATGCTGTTAAAGTAAAAAAAAAAGCCTCTGATGATTGCGCGGCTCAGCTGGGATCATCAGAGGCTTTTAAAAGCATTTTTTCTACAACCTCTTCAGCTGAAAAAATGCTGTTAAAGTAAAAAAAAAAAGCCTCTGATGATTGCGCGGCTCAGCTGGGATCATCAGAGGCTTTTAAAAGCATTTTTTCTACAACCTCTTCAGCTGAAAAAATGCTGTTAAAGTAAAAAAAAAAGCCTCTGATGATTGCGCGGCTCAGCTGGGATCATCAGAGGCTTTTAAAAGCATTTTTTCTACAACCTCTTCGGCCGAAGAGGCTGTAGGAAAAAAAAATGCCTTTAAAAGCCTCTGGCGATCCCAGATGAGTTGCCTGGTCGTCAGAGGCTTCTAAAAGCATTTTTTTTCTGCAACCTCTTCAGCCGAAGAGGTTGTAGAAAAAATGCTTTTAACAGTAAAAAAAAAAAAAAAAGTCGGCCACGCCCACTCAGTCACATTAACCCCCCCAAGCCACGCCCAGAGAACCGGTAGTAACAAATTTTAGATTTCACCCCTGTCCCTTACGGCCATCGTTTGAAAAGCGTCTCATTTGGATAAAAGGAAATCAAAATTTCTCTCACAACACCCAAAAGATCCTGCTGGGTCAGAGATGGAATTCATGGACGTCCATTCTTTATTTCCAAGAGAGGTTGATCAGATGTGGACAAGCTCAGGCCCTTGAAGGCAATGGTCCTCTCCTATAGCTGTACCCAATGATTAAATACCTCTAAATATAGAGCGTCTGTTTAGCCATCACAATTAGTAGCCATTGGTAGAGGTTGAAACTGGTCCAATTCCACACCTTGTCATTATGAGTTCCCTCCGTTAATTACCTTTGTGATTCTCCCTACCCCATCCCTGTATCTCTCGAAAGCTACCGTATTTTTCGGAGTAAAAGATGCTCCGGAGTATAAGACGCACCTTAGTTTTGAGGGAGGAAAAATAAGAAAAAAAAAATAATAATTCTGGCTCTGCCTACCAGCATCCATCAGTATTCATCCTATCAAGTGTGTGAGACTGTTTGGAAACTGAAACAGTATTTGCTGTGTGAGCAACAAGGAAGGAGACAGCAAGGAGCCTGGGCGTGGCTTAGGTCAATTGTTCTAAAGCTGCATGCTGTGCTGATCTCCGAAACTGAAACTCCTCTCCTCTGCTTGTGTTTTGCTTGCTGCCGCAAACAGTCCTTGCAGCAAATAGCGAACAGCCAGGTCAGCTTCAGCACATTATTGCAGCCTGATTCAGCACGAGCAGCTGATTGGCGGGTAGATCGGCCTCCCAGAATACCCCCCAATCAGCTGTTCCAGGCTGCAGGGATTGTCGTAGACCATCGCCTCCTCCGTGCCTCACGTTTTTGGCTACATTCGGTGTATAAGACGCACCCAAATTTTCACCCTCTTTTAGGGGAGAAAAAAGTGCATCTTATACTCCGAAAAATACGGTATATAAGAGATAGCAACAGCAATAGAATTTAGACTTACATACTATCCCATAGTGCTTTACAACAATGTCAACATATTGCCCCCTGGGGCCTCATTTTACCGACCTTGGAAGGATGGAAAGCTAAGTGAACTTTGAGCCTGTCAAGGATCAAACTCCAAACTGTGGGCAGAGTTAGGCTGCAATACTGCACTTTAACCACTGCGCCATCAGGGCTCCTGGTGATAGAATGGATGTGCTCAGGATCTCAATTAAGTACCCAATTGTTTCGGAGTAAAGCAGTCCGACAAGTAAGGAAGGAACGAAAGGAAGTCAACATTCAAGTTTCCACCAATTACTGATGCTCCAGAAAGAAGATGAAGAATTTTGCAACTTGCCTTATGCAAGAAAGGGGGAGAGTTACTGTGACTCCACAGAGATATTCTGAAGAAGGCTCCATCTTACCCTTCCTCACTAAGATGTCTTCTTGGCATTTTGGGACATCCTTGCAAGTCAATACACCTGGAAATGAGCAGATGTGGTACCGTCCTTCCAACAGCGCAGGGTTTCCACAGCTACGGAGCGGCAGAGTGGACACATCTTCTCCCGGTCAAACCAGAGGCAGAGGCATTCTTCGCAGAAAACGTGCTGCAGAGATAAAAGGAACACATGGATAGGAATAGAATAGAATAGAATAGAATAGAATAGAATAGAAGAGAAGAGAAGAGAAGAGAAGAGAAGAGAAGAGAAGAGAAGAGAAGAGAAGAGAAGAGAAGAGAAGAGAA